GATTTAAATCCATGGTGGCGTACTGTGTTACCAGTGGTTTGTTTGGTGACTGTGGTCCCAACTTTCTTGAGATCATTCACAAGCTCCTCCTGTGTAGTTCTGGGCTGATCCCCCACTTTTCTCATAATCTTCCTTTCTCCATGAGACAAAATCTTGCATGGAGCTCCAGACTGAGGGCGATGGATGGTTATTTTGTATTTCTTCCATTTGTTAATAATCAGTCCAACAGTTGGTTCCTTCTCACCAAGCTTCTTACTGATAGTCTTGTAGCCCATTCCAGCCTTGTGCAGGTCTACAATCATGTCCCTGACGTCCTTTGACAGCTCTTTGGTCTTGCCCATGGTGGTTAGGCTTGAATGGAAGAAAGAGATTCTGTGGACAGGTGTCTTTTATACACATAACGAGTTGTCATTAGGAGCACTTTCTTAAATTGACAGGACTAATCTGTGTACCACATGAACACTTAGCCAGTCTGTGAGAGCCAGAATTATTGTTGGTTAGGTACCAAATACTTATTTTACTCACTGAACTGTAACTCGATTTATAACATTTGTATCATGTGTGATCAAATAATTATTTTTGCCACTGTATCTACAGTGAATATAAAAAGTCTACACACCCCTGTTAAAATGTCAGGTTTATGTGATGTAAAAAAAATTAGTCAAAGATAAATCATTTCAGAACTTTTTCCACCTTTAATGTGAACTATAAACTGTACAACTCAATTGAAAAACAAACTGGAATCTTTTAGGGGGGGGGGGACATAAAAGACTAAAATAATGTGGTTGCATAAGTGTGCACACACTCTTATAACTGGGGCTGTATTCAGAATTAAGCAAGCACATTCAAAATCATGATAAATAGGAGTCAGTACACACCTGCCATCATTTAAAGTGCCTCTGATTAACCCCAAATAAAGTTCAGCTGTACTAGTAGGTCTTTCCTGACATTTTCTTAGTCGCATCCTACAGCAAAAGCCATGGTCAGCAGAGAGCTACCAAAGCATCAGAGGGATCTCATTGTTAAAAGGTATCAGTCAGGAAAAGAGCACAATAGATATACCATGGAACACAGTGAAGACAGTCATCATCAAGTGGAGAAAAATATGGCGCAACAGTGACATTACCAAGAACTGGACATATCTCCAAAATATATGAAAAGATGAGAAGAAAACTGGTCTGGGAGGCTGCCAAGTCTACAGCAACATTAAAGGAGCTGCAGGAATATCTGGCAAGTACTGACTGTGTGGTACATGTGACAATCTTCCATGTTCTTCATATGTTTTGGCTATGGGGTAGAGTGGTAAGACGGAAGCCTTTTCTGAAGAAAAACATCCAAGCCCGGCTAAATTTTGCAAACACACATCTGAAGTCTCCCTCAAAGGCATATGGGAAAATGTGTTCTGGTCTGATGAAACCAAGGTTGAACTTTTTGGCCGTAATTCCAAAAGATATGTTTGGTGCAAAAACAACACTCCACATAAACCGGTTTCAAAAGGGGGAGCACATGCAGAAGCACAAGTTCTTTTACTATCACCCACAGCACATTGGAGCACGAAATGTGTTTAATGAACTACAATACTATCCTGATATAATGATTTTGGATTTATTTTATGGACACTTTTATTTAGCTGTGATGTTTCATGTCACTTTTATTGGTTGTTTATAATGGAGTGTTCCCTAGGGGAAGGTGCACTATAGTTTCATGTTCACGGTGTATATTGTGAAGCCCATTTTCATTTTTATTTTTCAAAGGGGGGAGGTGGCTTGCTATTGCCTTATTATAGTATAGAGTATATTTCACTGCTTGTTACATGCATGGTGTCACACGGGGGAGGTGTACTGTAGTACCACTTCCCAGGTACTACTCATGTACTCAATTGTTTATATATTTTTCAAGTTTTTGTATTTTTTGCAAGAGAGAGGGGTAGTTTGTAGATCCACCCTTCCATTTCACATGGTTTGGAAATCCAGTGTGACACACTTGGCCAATCTGAAGTAGGAAGGTGGCTGATAGGAAGGAGGGGTCTTCTTAGGTATATATCCACTTACATTCATTGATCATCACGGGAATAGGAAGGGAGGAGATGCTGTATAGCACGGAGTGATCACTTTACGGTATAAGGTACTTACCACATAAAACACTGATTGTATTTTTACCATTTATGAGGAACAGCGCTACACCCAGGGGCGGACTGACCATTGGGGAACTCGGGCACTGCCTGAGGGCCTGAGGTCAGTAGGGGGCCCCATGAGATGCTCCTGGTACCTTTCATAGGCTTTTTTGGGTGTGGTTTGAGCATGGGGGAGGACACAGGGGCCCCATGATCCCCTATTGCCCAGGTGCCCCATGAGTTGTCAGTCCGCCCCTGGCTACACCCTATGTTTTCATTGTATCTCTACATTCCTATTAGGGTGTGGTAGGTGTTAGCAAAAGTCCCTTACCATTGCGCAGAACCAATCCCGCATTTCCGCTTTTTCCATATGCTGGTTGTACTAGTGTCAGTGATGACACTGAGAAATGTGAGTGTGATGCATGGTTTTTACTGGAATAAAGAAGTTTAAATGGTTTCACGCATGGAGAATCTCAAGGTTACAAGTCCATCTCCAGAGATCTTAATGTTCCTGTGTCTACTGTGCGCAACATTGTCAAGAAGTTTACAGCCCATGGCACTGTAGCTAGTCTCCCTGAACGTGGTCAAAAGAGAACATTGATCAAAGATTGCAATGTAGGATTGTTTGAATGGTGGCTAAAGAACCTGGATCAACTTCCAGACAAATTCAAGCTGACCTTCAGGCATAGGGTACAACTGTGTCAGCTCGCACTATACATCGCAATCTGAATGAACGCTATGGTAGGAGACCCAGGAGGACCCCACTGCTAACACAGAAACATAAAAAAACAGATTGGAGTTTGCCAAAACTTACCTGAGGAAGCAAAAATCCTTTTGGGAGAACGTACTGTGGACAGATGAAACAAAATTACAGCTTTTTGGTAAAGCCCATCATTTTTTTGTTTTCATAAAAAGCAATGAGGTTTTTAAAGAAAAGAATACAGTCCCTACAGGCAAATACGGTGGAGGTTCAATGATGTTTTGGGGTTGCTTTGCTGCTTCAGGCACTGGATGTCTTGACCGCGTGCATGGCATTAAGAAAGCTGAATACTACTGAAGAATGTAGGGCCTAGTATCAGAAAGCTAGGTCTCCATCAGAGGTCGTGGGGGTCTTATAGCAGGACAATGGCCCAAAGCACACATCGAAAAGCACCCAGAAATGGTTTCAGACAGTTCAGTTCAGAGTATAAGGGTTAAACAAAATTATGGGAACACCAAGTAAAATAACAAGATTGTTACCTAATATGGTGTTGGACCGCTTTTGTCATCCAAGATGGCCTGAATACTCCTGGGAATTGACAAATAAAAGTCTTGGATGGTGAATAATGGAATCTGATACCACTCTTCATACAAAAATTGTTCTAGTTCTCGCAGAGATGCTGGAGACAGAAAACAAACCCAAACCTTGTTCTCCAAAATTGACTATAGTGGCTTTATGATATTAAGGTCTGGCAACTGCAGCACCCAGGGAAAGTGCAAGATTTCATCGGCATGCTCTTCAAACCACGACAACACCAGCTGTGGGAATCAGAGCATTATCGTCTTGGTAAATGGTACTGTCTTTTGGAATCAATGTCTGCACCATGGAGTGCACATGGTCGGCTAAAATGTGTGCATAGTCACTGGCAGTGACTTTACCTTTCAAGGTGATGAGGCCTGCAGAATACCTAGTATGGCTGTCCAAACCATGATTGTACCACCACCATGCTTTACCGTTGGCACAAAACAGTCCTGGAAGCAAGCTTGGGATGGTGTTTGCCACATGTAAACACATCCGATGATTTGGAACAGCGTGAAGCTCTATTCATTGGACCATATTACAGTCTTCTATTGATCAACAGTCCACAATTTATGGGTGTTGCACCACTCTCTCCTCTTCTGAGCATTAATATTGGTCACTAGTGGTTTGAAAATTGCAGTTCACCCATGAATGTTTTGCTTATGGAGTTCACTCCGCACAGTTTTTGTGGACATGGGCTTTGCAAGACTGAAATTGAGCTCTGCAGTCACTTTTGCACCAGTTGTTTTCTTATTCCTGGTCAAAATCCGACGCAATGGCCTTTTGTCTCGTTCAGTCAGCTGACGGTGTCTTTTTCCCAAAAACTGTATATGCTGTCATAACTTTTGATACTGTACCTTGCAACATGGCAAATAAATTAGCAACTTCAGTCACAGAAGCACCAGCTAAGTGGGCACCAACAATTTGCCCTCTTTGAAGCTCTGATAAGAGTCTGTATTACTAGCAGCGCACTTCATGAATGATGAAAGTGAAGTTTCCCACCTGTTAGCTAGGTTGCACATCGGAAGCAAAAGAAACTTTAATGGCATCCCATGGCATATAACAGCTTCAACTCTTCTGCGAAGGTTGTCCACAAGGTTTAGGAGTGTGTCTATGGGAATGTTTGACCAGTCTTCCAAAAGCGCATTTGTGAGGTCAGGCACTGATGTCAGATGAAAAGGCCTGGCTCGCAGTCTCCGCTCTAATTCAGCCCAAAGGTGTTCTATCGGGTTGAGGTCAGGACTCTGTGCAGGCTAGTCAAGCTTCTCCATCCCAAACTTGCTCATCCATGTCTTTATGGACCTTGTTTTGTGCACTGGTGCACTGTCATGTTGGAACAGAAAGGGGCCAAACTGTTCCCACAAAGTTGGAAGCATGAAATTATCCAAAATGTCTTGGTATGCTGACGTTTACTGGAACTAAGGGGCCAAATCCAACCCCTGAAAAACAACCCCACTCCATAATCCCCCCTACAGCAAACTTGACACTTGGCACAATGCAGTCAGGCAAGTACCATTCTCCTGGCAACCGCCAAACCCAGACACATCCATAGGATTGCCAGATAGAGACGCATGATTCATCACTCCAAAGAACACGTCTCCACTGATCAACAGTCCAGAGGTTGCGTGCTTTACACCACTGCATCCAATGCTTTGCATTGCACTTGGTGATGTAAGGCTTGGATGCAGCTGCTTGTCCATGGAAACCCATTCCATGAAGCTCTCTATGCACTGTTGTGCTAATCTGAAGGCCGCATGAAGTTTGGGGGTCTTTAGCTATTGACTCTGCAGACAGTTGGCAAATTCTGTCCACTGTGTGCTTCAGCATGCACTGACCCCACTCTGTCATTTTACGTGACCTACCCCTTTGTGGCAGAGTTTCTTCCACATTGTTATAATATCACTAACAGTTGAATATTTAATAGCAAGGAAATTTCACGGATGGACTTATTGCACAGATAGCTACCTAGCATGGTACCATGCTTGAATTCACTGAACTGCTGGCTCCTCACTGAGCACCCATTCTTTCACAAATGTTTGCAGAAGCAGTCTGCATGCCTAGGTGCTTGATTTTATACACCTGTGGCCATGGAGGTGATTGGAACACCTGAATCCAATGATTTGGGGGGTGTCCCAATACTTTTGGCAATATAGTGTGTATATGTATATATATATATATATATATATATAGTATATATATATATATATATATATATAATTTTTTTAATTTTTGTTTTTTTAAACCAGCTTGTATTTTATATTTACTGGCCTTCCAATCCACCTGCTGATAAACTAAGTCCATATCTTTGCTTTCATGTAAAACAGATGACAGTGGTTCCCCCAGTGCACAAAGCAACCATTCAGCTTTTTAATCCCAGTAAGTGAAGGAATGAAATAAAATTAGGTCAATCACTGAGATCTTCTCAGATAAACTGGACAAGATAAAATAGCCTTAATGTAAAATTTATCTTCCGGATTCCAACTTTTGTTCTCTATGATTCCCATTCATAATTCAGGACATTAATGTCTTGTTATCTCTTGCATTTGAAAAGATACAGAACTTGTGTGTCAAGTTTGACTTTCCTATATAATACAGTATAAGTGTTCCACGATAGTCATAATCTCTCCTAGTGATCTCTTTAAACAGAAACAACATATTGTGTAAGCTTAGGAGTGTCAGTAATTTGTCAGATGCAGGGTATGTTCATCCACATTACATTTGTGGGGGAGTGCAGGGAAATGTGTGAACAAGATACGTGTTTTAGGATTGCTTTGCTAGGTAACCTTAACTGTTTACAATTTGCTGTCTAACCGAGTAGGATCACTGTGTATGTAAAATAAATATTCATTGCAGTATCAGGAAACAAAGTTAAAATCTAACTCCAGCAAGGATTAAAGTGTATGTCAAGCTACAAATAAGATTTTGTATACTATAAAATCTTTTTCTTAGAGTCCATTGAGAAACACAGGAGTGTAAGAAATTCCTGAACAGTTAGGTCTTCAAAAAGCAGTCCAACTGAGGGGTGAGCAAAAGCCCGCAGTGGGATCCAAAAATGTGGAAATTATACTTCACAGAGCATTGGACAAGATCAGCACCTGAAAGAAAACCAGATGAAGAAAGGCCAACTAACTATGGAAATTGCTGTTACTGGAAGAGGATACCAAGGATCAACTTGGCATTCAAGACCATGACAGATAACACCACTAAGGGAAAAAAGTGCTACCTCTAAGAGCAATGAATAACATCTGGTGAATAGAGGACCAAACCAACCATGAACCCTAAAAGAGGTGGAATATATACCACCTAAATGTGAGTAAGCTAGATCAAGGACTACCGTGGTCAACAAAAATGATACAGTAACGGTATCAAACCATCTTCACAACTGCAAAAAAGATAAACCCTAGAAAACCTGACCCTTAAGCTCAGGGAGGGGAATCTTGGACAGACAAAACAGGTCAAGAAAAAATAACCAATCAACAGCTGTTGGCTAAAGTGTAAGTTCACCTTTTAAGAAAAAATTAAAGGGTGAACTAACACCCTACACACTCCCCACCCCCAGTCCCTGCTGGACTTACTTTTGTGGGTGATTAGCTGTCTGTGCCCATGCAGTTGGTGTAGCAGTTGGGGGATTTGAAACCCTTGCTCTTCTTCCCTATCTTTTTGTTTCGTGATGGATCAGAGCTATTCCAATTGGTCAAAGCATTTACGAGCTAGTGCTGACCAATCAGACAGTTAATCACCCATGAAGGTAAATGCAACAGGCACTGGGGAGGGGTGGGGGTTATGCAGGATGTTAGTTCACTTTTTCATTTTTTTCTAAAAAGGTGAAATAACCCATTAAATTGAATACTTTTAACCTTTACCTTCAGGGAGAGAGAGGTTCAACATAAGAAAGGATATTACTTCATAGAAAGCTAATTTCCTCAGATATGTCTATAGATTTGCAAGCTCTCACATCATAAAATGCAAATAAAGACAAGAGGAAGAACCCCCAAGATGAGAAAAATGAAAGGGAACTAACCCTAAATCCTTTTAAACCACTTCAATATCAGCATGTTACACACTCTTCCTTTCCATGTTATTTTTCAGTTTTCAGCGCTGTGATAGTTTCACTGGCAATTACTTAATCATGCAACACTGTAATCAAATTAATTGCATATCAATTTTGGTGGCATTAAATAACTACTGTTTTAATTTTTTTTTATTATATAAAGGAATATTTTGAAAAAAAAAAAGTTTCCTTTACCTTCTGTTATAAACCATATCAAATAGAATGCCATTACAAACACCCCCAAAATTACCCCTTTTTGTAAAGTAGATACCCAAGGTGTTCTTATTTTTTCCACAATTTTTGGGGAAATGAAGAAACATTCTGGTATTGCAGTAGTTAAAGTACACCTAGCCTGTAAAAGTAGACCACTGGAACCAAGTGTAGGTCTTCCTTTATTTGTGGAAGAAAGTTCCCTGAAGGATGAAAATGCATTCCACTAAAACTGAATTATTTAAAATGGCTATATGTCATAGTTAATACCAAAACAAATTAAACCCTCAAAACAATGCCACAATCATTGGTGATTCACAGATCTGAGCTGAGGCAGGTGCACAGTGTCACCAATATCTTTTGAAATGACATTGTGAAGGGCAGATCCAAAGAGACATCTTAATATTATTACAGGTAATTATATAGTGCCGTCAATTTACGCAGTGTTCTACATATATATTTATTGAACATCAGTCCCTAACCCTCAAGGAGTATACTAAGGTCTCTAACTCACAATCATCCATACACATACTAGGGCCAATTATGGTGTCCTTTTATGACACAGAGAATAGCTGCGATTCAGAGGATCACAGCTATTCTCTGGTCATTCACAGTTTATAACACTGAGGAGAACATGTTCAGCCCTTCAGTGGAGATCTGTGTTCTCCCTCCAGATTCTCCAGCCCAGAGCTGGAGAATCAGAGGGACCGCAAACTAAGCAGCGAAAATTTACCTCTGTTTAGTAAACTGATCTTTTACTGTAATCTCGCGAGATTATAGTAAAATGAGCCGTTTTCCAGCGTTTGTGGACCGTTCTCCCTTCATTTGGAGAACTGATCTACATATGCTTCATAAACGGCATTCACAGGAGAACTGTGTTCTCCGAGAATGCCGGAGAACTGAGCAGCGATCTATTACTGCTGGTTCATAAAGGGACACCTTAGATAGGAGCCAATTAACTTAACAGCAGTGTCTTCAGAATGTAGGAGGAAATAAAAGTACCTGGAGGAAACACACACAGGCACAGGGAGAACATGCAAACTCCAGGCAGGTGGAGTCATGGTTTGGGATTCAAACCACAACCCTGCCAGGTGGAAGTGCTAACCATTTAGCCCCTGTGCTGCCCACCTTCCTTTAAAGAATAAGTGAACCAGACTTTCCTTAGGAAAATCCTTGGCCTCCCAGGCGTGCAGCCAAAGTGCCCTGTGCATTTAAACCAAAATCATTCCCATACGTGGCACAAGCTTGAAAGCTTGTAAAAGGCCACCATAGCTGAAGCAAAAATATTTGTTTCAAAAGTTCCAAGACAAAAGGGTTTGACCTTTTGCTGGAGGGGTCTCTTTTAAGGGATATGATGCATTATGACATGGTTTAAGAAAAAACAAAGTCACCAACAATAGAGGAGGGAGAGTTACTACAGTTGATTCAAACTGAGACTTAAGTAGGGAGTCAATCTTTTTGGTTAGTGAAATACCTAGGTAAGAACACCATCAACCTGTTCAATGGTCTACTTGTTAGGTATATAACTGGAGTGTCTACAATGGGGGGAGACCATAAATTCCCTTTCAAGGAGAAAACATCCTTTCATGCTGTCAGGAGAGGCCCATGATTCCATAGGTTGTTTCCATTTAAAGAAATGATTTAATCAGGTTAGAAGCAGCTCCTTGTAATTACGAGTCAGACAAAACTTGTTCAAAGAAAGTCCCTACAGAATATACTGTGAGAACTCACATAGTATTATGGGCCTCAGGCACACATAAAGATGTAGGCCCAGTAGGGTAAGAATTAAACTCTGCCGTGAATGATGCCCGAATGCAATTACAGCTTATGCAAGCAGATTCAAATTGAAAGTGGATATAAGCAGTCTTGTTCATACATGGAAGGTCTCAGCCTCATGTAGCAGAGCCACAGATGACTTCAATGAGAATGACCTTCTAACAGTAGGATCTAGGTTGTAAATATCTGTTCCTTCTGGGGATACTGAGAAATTGCCCTAGAAGCAGTGGAGGAGTATGTGCTGAGGTCACCCTTTGCATTGTATCGTGGAAAAGTAGGCCTAAAATGATATATGACAGAATTATCTTATTTAGACCTGTTCATTTAGTGATGTGCCTCATATAAGTACCTTGGGCAAAAGGAATTGTGTTGTGTAGACCTAAAGTGAAGCAAGCCCTCTCATAATCACAGATCCAAGCAGTTGAAAATGTTTGTAAGGTGCTGATAAGGGTTGCAGGTGGCCGGAGGTGATCAAATCACTGTATGTGAGCAGTGGAACAAGACCAAAGACCGAATGATCCACGAGGTACTTCAGAAGAACAAGTAGCAGAAGCAAAGTGCTTTATCGAGGAAGAATGGCAGAAAAAAGAACCTGGAGCACGCATACACATGCAACACTCTACCTAGCTCATGATATCAGTGCTTAGTTCTTTTGGCCTCAACCATTACCACCCAATGGTGCCAACTGTGAGGTACAGTATCTCCAAGTGTTTCAGGCAGACAAGCCCTACTCATTATGAAAGTCAACAGAGACTGGGTCACACTAGAAACTTGCCATGGCTCTTTAGCTAGATCTGTGGCTAACTAAAACAGGGCACGAAGGAGGTCTAGAAAGACCCCAGTGCTTAAAGGTAACATTCCAGGCTTGACCTACAGTCTTCTAGTCTAACAGGATCCAGGTATGGCCTGCAAAGCTGTTGCTGAGGGTACACCTCAATAGTTGCTGTAATAAACTGTCTCAAGCATAATTTTTGACTAATGTTATGGAAGAAAGAAATATCTACGGTGTATCAAGTAT